ACACGCTGGTTTAGCTTAGCAGTCCATACAATGAAATATCTCTCTGTACTTAGCTCCTTCACAGTCATAAATTCAAAGAAAACACAATAATATACATAATCCAGACTCTCTGTGAATTTTCCATTTTTACAAGACTTATTTTTCTTTACTCCTTTTGATATATGACTGTCTGTACTCTGTTTCTTTAAAGACATTTTTTAAAAAATGATTTACTTCTTTTTCAACTCTCTATACTCTTTTTCTTCTCTCTCCCAAGCCTACATACATTTATCTACCACTATGACTCATCTGGTTTTGTCTTTATTGCATATCTGTAATTCTTTAATGTCCAGGAGCGCTTTTTAAAATGCTAAGGGCTTCTTAAAAACTTCGGTTGTGCCATATGGTACTTCCTGCTTGTGCGCCCAGTCTAAAACTTAAGCTGCACCATTACTACCATATATATGGTACTGTGTGCTAACCCTGCACCATCCAACATGGTGAAAGTCCATTCAATGCCTCTGCAAGCCATGCACATTGTCCCAGTTTTAGTCACACAGCAGGTCTATGATGCCATTAAGCATGCTGCAACAGTCTACTCAAAAACCCCATCCAAATTTTCTGTCTCCCGCAAGAGCCAGGTTGTGCTCCCGCAAGAGCCAGATTGCGCTGGCAGCACAGCCCAGAAAGCAGGCATTTTAAAATGGCCAGGGCTTTTTTCCTGCTATGGCTGAATCAGGAAAATCTCTCATTTTCCTGAGCTGTGGCATGCCACCAGTAAACAGCAAGACACTGTGTTAAACTCTGTGTTTTTGTGTCTAGAATTCCTTTTCAAACTCTCTCAGGCTTTAAGTGGATTTAGCTGGCCATGTGGGTGCCAATATGTAGGAGGACAGGGCAGAGGCAGGATGCCCATTTCGTTCTGAGGTAGAGCTAAGAGCTAATAGCTGGCTGCTTTGCTTTTCTGATCTTCAGCTGGAGCCCCAATATCTATCTCTGGATTATTATTATTTGTGCTCCATCTGGCAACCAACTTTTAGGATATGAATTCACAAAAATGCTGTTTGCCTGTGGCTTTACAACCACCAGCATTGGCCAGAATGTTATTATTTTGCTAACTTTGCCTGATACCTGGGTACCCTGTCCCTTTAAGAGACAAGCTCCACATACCCCCAATTATCCCAAACCTCCCCCACTCCCCCACTCCCCACCCCACTTCTTCCCAAGGCAAGCTAACCTCATGCCTTCTCTGCTCCTCACTCTCTCTTTCTCTCCCTCTTCTAAAGAGGTAAATACTGCCTCTCTCCCTTCCCCCCTTCTCTCTTCTCTCTCTTCTCTCTACCTTCTCTTTCCTCTTTCTCTGACCCCCTTCTCTCTCTCCCCATATCCTCTCTCCTTCATAACCCCTTACTCTTAGACCATTCCCAATACCCACTAAATAAACTCCATACCCCAGCTCTCTCTATGGCCTATCTGTCTGTCTCCACCTACCAGGGGACCTTCCAGGGTTGGGCCACTGAATGTCCAACACTGGTTCAGCTGAGGACTGCTAGGGACCCTGCAACCTCTACCCTTCAATATGGTTGCGTCTTCTCTACTAAATCAAATGCTAAGCTTTTCCAGAAATACTGCCAAGTTTTAAGGTAGAGAACCTTAAGAGATGTTCCAGCCAGGAGAAAGTGTCCTGGTCAAAATGAGGGAGGAAATTCACCCTTCTGTGTTGGAATTTTTCAGGCCCCGAGAGATTGACAGGTACCATCTCCCAAGTGAGCACTATCTTCTCTACTAAATCAGATGCTAAGCTTTTCTAGAAACACCACAGCGGACATAATGAGAAGTGGTATCTTGAAATGTTTGTGGCATCTGCATAAAATTATCTGTTATACTATGTGGTATGTGACCTAGAACAGAATCACAATTACGACATCCCTAAGGGAAGAAGTGTGGACTGCCTCAGATCCACCGTTCAAATTTCTCCAGGAAATGACTAAGCAATGGGTAGAAAACTAATAAACACTTTTATTCAGGGAGATTCACAGACTTTGATTCCTCAGGTGGAAGCATCGTTAAGCAATAATTTACCAAGAGGCCGGGCAAACATTCCACAGCATTATGAAATGATGAACGTGAGCTAGGCGTGGTGGTGCACACCTTTGATCCCAGTATTTGGGAGGCAGAGTTGGGTGGATCTCTGAGTTCAAGGCCAGCCTGGTCTACAAAATGAGTTCCAGACAGCCAGGACTACACTGTAAGTTCCTCCCCCCCAAGAAAGAATAAAAGTATGGAATGAAACTGCTGTGCTGGCCCCCAGGTGCCTATGTAATTGAGACAGAGGTGAACATTGTTTACTGTTGTCACCAACAGATTAAATGATTCTACTGGAAGAGCGAAAGATAATATGAAGTACCAAACTAATTCTACCCTAAACATTTACTTGTTGAATTATACAATTAAAATGTTCCAGAGAATAATTAGTTAAGAGATCATGATCCTGGCTAGATTTTAAGTTATTGAAATCCACATATCTAAGGCATGAAGATGACTAGACAGAGTGTCCGAAGATTATATTAATCTCACCTGAACAAAGAAGTAAGTATCTATAAAAGTCAAATGAGAGTCTGCAATGAGACAAACACCTGCCTGCAAACTGAACAACTCGTTTCGCTGCCACCGAGAGGGCTCGCTCTGCTGCGGGAGAACTTGGAGTCTCCTGAAGCTCATTCTAGGTGTGATTTTAAATCCCTTCAGGAGAACATCATGCAGATGAAGAATTGGTGAGTAACAAATCTGACACAAGTTCCAATTATTGCACAAATTCACCAACTGTTGTCACCCATTGGATGTGAACCACTCTGCAGGGAATACGCTAGAATCTCCAGGTTAGTCACTGTTTTGCTAACTAATGCTTTGTCATGGTTTCACAGGCTAAGTGACTGGATGCCCACTTTGGGGTGGGGAAATGCCTCTGTAAGGCTGAAGTTATTTTTGGAGATGAATTTCTGATAGTTTTTTTTAAACGAATCTTTGGTAACTAGCAATACTATCCTTTGGTGCTGGTGGGACAATCACTTTGGAGAACCGTGACATCCACCAGCACTGAACAATTTGGTAAAGAGGCAGGGGTAGGTCCTCCTCCAATAGCCATGACTTCCCTAGTCAAGGGCAGCAGACTAGGTTTTCTCTTCCAGGCATGTTTTTCGTCTTGTCGAGCAGGCCTTAAGTCCAAGGAGAACACTGTTGGTTACCATCAAGGTATGTATGCCAATACTTCACCCTGAGGGTTGCCATAAATGACGGTCGTGCTGTGGTTCACAGGCATCATATCTGAAGGCTACTGGTCACCTCCCTCCTTGGTAGCTTACATGGGACCTTCTGCCACCATAAAAGGGAATCCTCAGGGAGGATTGGTTTCAAGTCAGATCCATCTGAGGGCCTCTGGGCCCTGTGTCTGACGTGTGTAGTATCTTCAGCAATAGGAGAGAGCAACCAGTACCAGTGTTATAGCCTGTAATGTTCTGACAGTCTCTTGGACAGCCCTGACCAGCAACTCAAAAAGAGGGCTGCTCATGACTGGTGCGAGTTTGTTCAGTGGCCTTTGGCTCTTGGAGGAGTCACTGTCAGCCCAGAGAAACTTCATTTGAGATCTGAGTGGGAGAAGCCTGAGCTAGGGAAGTTTGCAAAAGGGGGTGAAGAAGAACCAGGCCAGGTATGGATCCCTACAAACACTCTGACATGGAGATCCCAAGACAAAGGGGGTCATCTGGAGTGTCGAAGCAGAGCATGTACAAATGACTCCTAGTCAGAAGGACTGGATTCTTCTTATCAGAAACACTCATTTCTGGGGGAGACGTGCTGGGGCACATCTGAATTCAAACGTTCATGCATAAACGTTCATAAATAAAATAAATTTAATTTATTAATTATGTATACAATATTGTCTCTGTGTATGCCTGCAGGCCAGAAGAGGGCACCAGACCTCATTGCTGATGGTTGTGAGCCACCATGTGGTTGCTGGGAATTGAACTCAGGACCTTTAGAAGAGCAGGCAATACTCTTAAACTCTGAGCAATCCTTCCAGCCCTCATGCAACAATTCTATGCCTATCCAAAGAATGCTGATATAAATGGTATGAAAAGACACCTGAAATTATGAAAGCATGAAGAAATTTATTTCACAGGGGCTCACAGAGAGGTGGGATTAACCAGGTTGGTCCCCATCCCTGGTGACCCAGACAGGAAACTCCAGAGGCATCAGGGACAGAGGGGACAGGATCCTGGTGACACAGAGATATTATTGTGACATACTAATGGGGGGCAGAGAGGATTGTGGCTTACTGCTGGAGACTCCCCCAAGCCTGGATCCTCACTCCTGAAACCTGTATGAAGCCCCAGTAGTGCTAGAGTACAGGCGATCCCAAGCCCCAAAGGCTCCCTTTGAGCTCCAGAGCCTCCTGCAGCTGCCTGGTAGAGGCTATCAGAGGGCCTCAGGAAGTCCAACCCCTGCTTATCCAACCAGAGTCCCTGCAAACTCTGCCAGGTCGAGGGGCAGTCTATGGAGGCAGCAGGGAAGGCTGGCAGTGCAACCCAGGGCCAGGGTGGATCAGGCCTAACAGTGGTACCCAACATAGTCCAGCAGAGACCTCAGACATCAAGCATTCTAGACTACTAGCCCAGGCTGAGCTCTGAGGGAAGAGTCCCAACTCTTCACGACATCACAGCAACTGATAGGCAAGACAGTCTGTCAAGAGGGTGCAGACAGTCGCAATAGAAGGGCACTTTGCTGAATAAAACTTAAGACCCAGGCTTTAAAGAGCTTGAAAGGGCCGAGACTGGGTGAAAGAACGGAGGACCCAAGACATTCTGGGGTCATCAAAGGGACAGAAAGAAGAAGGAAATGCCAGGGCTACAGGAAGTTCAACTGTTGCCAGAGCCCCAGGTCCCTCATTTCCACCTCCTGCCCTGTCAAGGCCCTACTTATTCCCCCACGTGGCCACCTTTGTATACAGAGGTGTTGGGAGGAAGCGGCGACTCTTCATGTAGGCAGAGATGTTCTTCAGTCCCTGAGAGTTAGAAAAAAAAAAAAAGAAAACCAAGATTTAGGTTTGCTCAGTGCCAGAGAGGGCAATCAACTCCTCTTCCTCACACTGCTAGTAATTAGCGCACATTTGGGATCAGCCTGGCTTCTGTCTCTCCAATGTGGTACTCTCTCCTGGCACTCCCTTCCTGCCCTCCCTAAGAGGCCTTATCACCCCATCTATTCAGACATGCTCCTCCTGCACACATAAACTCCATATTTCCTGGGTTTGCCCACTGAATAGGAATCTAGAAGGACAAAGGGGCATGTTGGCAGACAACCCCTATCTTATCCAGTGACCTGGTAAAACTGGGGTCAAAGTTTATAGATTATAGTTTATAGATTATAGACCAGAAAAGAAAAGTCAGACTTGCCCTTTCTTGTTACCTAAGAAAAAAGTCAGCTTCTGCACCTGGTACTGAGCCTCAACCAATCCTATGTCTGGTCCTGATAAAGGGACCAGGCTCAATGACAGTTACATGTGCTATTGGCCTTCTGCCAAGAGAAGGAGCCTCCAGAAAATCTCTAAAGAGTTCAGATGTCCGGAGCTGCCTATGATCAAGAGGCCAAGTTCACATTTAGTCTAAAGCTGCAGCCTTCAACTCTCCCCAGCCTCTTCCTTCTCAAAGTCACCCAGTTCAGACCAAATGATGAGAACTGGCTGAGAAATCACCTCACTTGGTAAGGAATGAGACAGGAAAATGAGTTCCAGACTGAAATGCCCATTGGACCTAGGACTCTAACCCCTAATTTCTAATACAGAAGATGGCGTGGATATCAATCAAGTAGTCTCCAGCGAAACAGGGCTCCCCAGCACCCAGGTGGTAACACACACACACACACACACACACACACCTCCCTTTCTGTTTTGCCTGATATTATTTGATACACTTGGTCCCCAGGTGGGTCTAAGAACCACCTTTTCCTTTCTTACTGGGCATAACATATGCCTCATACAGAAATCAGGAAACAGAAAAATAAGTATGTGGCGAATCTCACAAAAGGAAAAGTTGGACACTCAATAATAAAAAAAAAAATGAATGGCGTGATGGAGGAGAGCCCATGACACATACATCAGGATTAAATACTAAATAGGAGCCCCACAAGGTCTCAGCAAAGCATTCTGCAGACCAAGCACAAGTATCCTTACATCCTGGTACCTCTCATAACCCAGGCTGCAGCCGCCACCGGCTGCCCTGAGGAGCAGGAAGCCAACAGCAACCCCAGCCCAGTTCTACTGCTGCTGAAATCTTGAGCGGGTAAGGAATCCTCGCGAGTTTCACATTTCCTGATCTGAGCAGTGGGACAGACACCTTCCCCGACCCTGGAGGAACGCTGTACTGATGAACCTGATCAACAGACAGCAGGTGCTGAGCGCAGACTCTGGGAGAAAGCGAGCGCTGAACATGCTGCCTGCTCTTCTCTTCACCTCCAAGCCCAAGAAAACAGTAGGGAAAAGTTTACAGCCAAGAGGAAGGAGGATCAGGGCATCACCTCAAAGCGAGCCACAAAGTCCTTCAGGTTTGGGAATGCGTCCAGGCACTTGGGTTCGAATATACGGTGTAGGTCCAGGATATCATAAGCAAGGAAATCCACAAAAGTTATCTGCAAAAGGCCAAGAACCAGGGGGCATGAAATTCTGTGCCCCCAAAAAAAATGACAACCCCCAACTTCTTCTCTTTTACCTTTTCACCGACAAACCATGTCTGCTTCCCCAGGAACTGTGAGAAGAGCTTCATCATCCCTGGGAGCTGCTCCAAGTATTCTCCCTTCAGTTTCTCCTGAAGCAGAAGCAGCTATCACCACAGAGTTCCCTGGCAGAGTGACCAGGTCAGCAGTACCATGCATGGTCCTACACGGCCAGCGGTGGGAAGCCATCTCCACTAAGAGGGAGTCCACTCTTTGATTTCACATATCAACACTTATTTCCTAGATTGTATGGGAGCTCATCCCACCCTTCAAATGCAATGGAAAAGCCAGAGAAGAAAAAGACACTGTCCACAATGGGACATTCTCATTCCTGATGCCTAAACCCATGAGTGCCCGGAGCACTGGCAGGCACTAGGGCAGGCAACACCAAAGAAGGAAGACCTAAAAGTAGTCAGAGATGAAGGGGGTTCCAAATCATAGGTCCAGAAGGATGAAATATACTTAAGTTTCCCTCATAAACTGAGGAGGATTTGAAGCTGAAGGAAAGGAAAGAAAGACCTTCAGGCTCTTCCTGGGTCACCTATAGAAAAACACGCTGCCTCCCATGGGTGTGAAGGAGGCACTTGGAGAGGCTGGGAAGGGTTTCCTGAGTTTTCATCCTGGACTTCTTTTTCTGATCCATTCAGTGTACTTGTATTTCATGAACAGCAATGATATGAACTACCTGGTAAGGGCCTAAGCAGAGGGTACAGGTGCAGAAAACTTGGGAAACATGACATCACTATCTAGGGTTTGGTTGTATCCTCCAGCTTGGCCTGCATGATGAGGAAGCCCCATTCCTCTCTTTCTCTCTCTCTCTCTCTCTCCCTCTCTCTCTCTCTCTCTCTCTCTCTGCCCTGCCCAGAGTCTCTGAATTAAAAAAAAAAGGTGCAAAAAAGCCCAGTTCCATCCACATTTCTGGTGACTATTGCAGCTTCCTCTCCTGTTGCTGCCAGCAGCCCAAATCCCTGTCTAAGCATTCAGCTCTTGACCATTTTTTGGCACAAACCCAGTTAGTGGTGGATACATATCACCCAGCACCTATAATCTATATAATTTCCCTGCTTTATTTTTGGCACATGACTCCTCTGACCTCAGTCGCTGGACTGGAGAACCCACCCAGGAGTTGCTTTGCTCAAATAAACCTATTCTAGGACTCTTTCAATTCGGCTTACTGTGTTGGCAGGGAAACCTACCTGTGTTGGGGTACAGAAGACCTATTATTGAGGAAGTTATTGTCTGCTCTGGGAAGTCTGGACTAAGACATGTAGAGCCTAAGTAAGCATGTTCATTTGATAGTTCAGTGTTCTGGGGACTGCTGGTGATAACACAGAACACATCCTGGGGGGTAAGTGGCTAAGAAAATCAAAAGGTAAATAAGACCTGTGCAGGTGGGAATCTGAAAGAGCTGACTCCTGACCCAAACACTGCCTGGTCCAGCCCAACATGGGAGCAGGATGAGACTCACAAAGTCTGGGCTGTAGCAGACTCTAGCCAGCTCGTTGGAGACATCCATAGCCTGGTTCTCCAAAATGTCCACACGAATCTTTTCTTCCTCTGTCTCTCCACCTGCAGTACACACAGCACAGACTCACCTTAGCATCTCACCCCAGTCCAGACAACAAGATTGTCTCCCATGCCCCACCCTGCAGCCAGCCCCACTCACACAGGTTGTGCTTGCGGGCAATGTAGCGCAGGATGGCGTTGCTCTGAGTGATCTTGTGGGGCCCGTCAATTAAGTAGGGCAGCTGGAAAGACAAGCAGGGATGGTCAGATGGGATATGAGGTCCCAGCCTCACTTCCCTGGGTTAGGACAGACATGTGGCCATGTGACCTGGCATTCAGCGTGGTTAGCATGGGAAGCCCTCCACGAATACACTGCACACTGAATGGAAGAGCCGGGACACAGCCCATCACAGACACACTGTGCAGCCTCCAGGAATGGTAGGAGGAGAGCAGTAGCATTGACCCCAAACTGCCTTGGAGAGGTGGGGAGATGAGGTGGGAATCCCATGCCTTTCCCAAACCTCCCCTTCCTGGCACCTACATTGGGAAAGTCCAGGCCCAGCTTGAACTTCTCACTCAGCCATTGGCTTCTATCATAGGCAGGAGCTGTGGTTGATAAAGTTACATAAAAAGAAATTAGCCTAGTGACCAATATGCCTATTCCAGGGACCCAACCCTGTAAAGCAGGGAATTGCAACCTCATCGCTGAATCTCACAACATAAGGTTCCAGGGACGAAGAGTGCTTGGGACTGTGGGCCTACATCTCTAAAATTTAATAAAATAAAATAAAATAAAAAAGGTTCGGCAAGTCTTCACGGGGAATGTGATCTACTTTCAACAGCAGTGGGGGGACCCACCCCTCCACCTCCAGTATTCCCTACTGAATGATCAAGCCCATCCTCTGGAGGTTTCCAGAAGAGGCAGAATCTAAGTCCACCTGGAGGAGCCCTGTCATGTAATGTACGTCAGAAACGGGCTGCTAAGCACCAATGGACAGGGGTAAGGAAGACGTTTGACCAGAAGAATGTCATTACCGTCGCCCATGACGTATCTCTTCTCCTCGTAGCTTGAGTCTGTGTATTCCAGGAGTAGGCGAATAGCATGAGCCAGCTGTAGAGATAGGTCAGGAAAGGGGCCCTGGGATTTCCATGTGACCTCACCTCCCGCCAAGTAAGTACACACAGGCGCACATAGCAGCAGCCATGTGCAAAGGAATTCCTCTAGGACCCGCCCCCTCACCGCTTCCCTTGTGCTAGCCCCGCGATTCTTTTCACCGTCAGGTGGGCACTCACCCCACGGATGTCCCAGTAACCCAGTGTCATAGGCATGGTGCTGGTGCTGGTGCCAGGGATTGAGTCCACTGACTTTCGGGATGAGCACCTTTGACCTTACCCTCCTGATTTATGATAGCTGGGCGGGGCTGGCGCCTGGTGTGGTCCTGCCCCTACGGAAGCAAAGTTAATGAACTCCACCCCCATGAGACCGGAAAGCGTCTGCGATTCCGCCTGAAGTCCCACCCCCTTCCTCCTGCCCAGTGCGCAGAAGCAAGGCACTGGGTGAGCCGCTGACTTTCCCAGAGAGCTCTAGCTGCCCCTGGGTGTGTGGCAGGGTCAGGCCACGAAGGAGTCCCCAACCCGGGAGTGTTGATTAGGCACCTCATTCCTGTTGTCAAACAAGGCAGACCCCCGCAGGTTGTGCTGAGGACAGTTGTCTGGAGGTGATGTTTCTCCGCCTGGCAGAGAGCAGTCTCTATTCAGAAGTACATGTGAATTAAGAGATTATTTCTATCAGAAACCTCTGATTCAAAAAAGTGGGAAAATGGAAATTCTGGAGGTTCATACATGGTCAGGATGTCTGCTTATATTATTCAGGGACTTAAAACGAGTCACGTGTCCCCTGACAAGTGTAGCAGCTCTTTCTCTGTTTTGTGACCACCCGATTATTCTTACAGACCTAACAGCTCCTGAAAGGTCGGAGGGTGCACAGGACCAGCGCGTGAGGAGCTCAGGATCAGCTTCTAGCAATTACAATCAAGAAAGAGATGCCTGAGGTGTCTATCGCTGCTGTTCAAAACAGGGTGTACTGTTCACAACACTGGTTTTTGAATGTGTACAGACTGTGTCTGGAGGGCAGGGGAAGTGGGCTCTCCTTTTGTACAGCAGGGATCACTTAGTCACTTGCATTTTGTTATGGCTTTAAGACTTCTGCAGGGTCATCAAATAACAATTTTAAGCTCCACTGGAATTCTATGGGGCTTCTAAGTATATAGGGCCCATCTTTAACCAAAATGTGCTAAAGTGACAGGTGACTATACCTAAAATTCTTAATAATGTTAAAACTGTACTGTGGCCAGGCATTATGATAAAAAAAAAATGTCTCATCTTCTAAGAGTCTGAGACTTTTGCTGGGCCTCACAGCCAGTGGTAACAATACACCTTGAAGTCACTTAAGTCTGCTATCCTACTTAGCCTGATTGTGAGCTAAGCTATGATCAGGATGTTGTTTGTTTGCTTGGTTTTTTCATTGTTGTTTGTTGTTTTTGTTTTTAGATAGAGAGAGGGTCTCTCTACATAGTCCTGGTTCTCCTGGAACTCACTCTGTAGACCAGGCTGACCTCAAACTCACAGAATCTGTCTGCCTCTGCCTCCTGAGTGCTGAAATTAAAGACGTGTACCACCAAAATAAAAAAAAGGAAATAAGTGCCACCAAACCTGGCACTATAATCTTAAAGTACGCACTTGTCTTAGCCACTTTTCTATTGTGTGAAACACACCATGACCAAGGCAATTTATAGAAGAAAGCGTCCTGCATGTTGGTTCACCGCATTATTTAAGTGGTTGCTTTCCTTCCTTATCTTTTGTTTCCCATTTATTGTAAAAGGTAGAACTGTTACTCCACGTCTCCGACTGTTTCTGACTATTTGATGTTTGCTTTTTGAGGCTTCACTCTGTAGCCCTGGCCAGGCTGGAACTCAGTATGTAGTCTAGGGTGCCCTCAAACTCAGAGATCTACCTTCTGCGAAGTTTTGCTGTATGTATTTTGTTCCAGTCTCACTATGGAAGTAGACCATAATAGAAAAGAAGCCATTATTCCTCCTGCGACTTCTGCTGAATTATCTGTGCTTGCCTCATTTTTGGAGGGTTTCTGGTTACCCTTACATAAGCCTGATTTCTTGGTAGATGATAGTTTAATTATCTAGAACATTCTAAGGACTGGTTGGAATCAGAGTAAGTTAGTGTGCAGAAAAAGAGGTGGGCCTCATCTCCCATGGGAGCTAATGCAGCACAGGGGACTCCTGAATAGTGAGTATCTTCGTTGTCATAAGAGTGGGTCACTTTGTGTCTCAATGGACAAAGCTGAGGAGGGGGTTGGGTTTTTGTTTTGTCTTGTTGCTTTTTAAATTTTTTAATTTTTGATTATTTAACACCTCTGTGCAAGACAGACATTATTGTATGGAATTAAATGGTTCCTGCTAAACAGGTCCAGATAGCCCCGAGTAAAGCAAACAGCTGGGGCAGCCAGAGTAGCCCCAATATAAATTAAAATTGATTGGCCTTGTTGATAGGCTTATAATGATGACCTCAGGAGGAGCATAAAGTATTGTGAGACTGGAGATTGGAATCGATGATGTGAGAGAAAGTTAAGTGCCCAGGGGCCTCTTAAAGGGAACTTTCCTTCTGAAGTTATTTAAAAGAAACAGTTGTGAGATTTTTGTTGTCAGGGTCAGGTGAGGGTCAGTAAGTCAACAGCTGCAGAACTGCGGAGTGACCTGGGAGAAATGCAGGAAAGTGTGACGGTCTCTTAAGTTACAGGTATAGGGTACATGGGTCAGAAAAGAAGAATTAAGCTAGGAGAAATAATGCTTTAGACTTTAGAGGGTTTCAGAGTGGAATGAAGACAAGACCTGATAGTTAGGAAAGAGCCTTGAATTCGTGTTGATCTTTATCAAAGGGGGTGGGCAGAAACTGTGACTCAACTGTTATGCCCAAATCCACAATCCCAGCAAGCCAACAAGGAAACCAAGAATCCCGTATGTAAAAGCAAAGTCCAACGTATTGGAATAACTGGAGAGCCTTGAGCTCAAATAGAGGTGGGGGTGAGGAGTTTCTGAAGTTTAGGACTCCTGATAGGTTGAAATATGTCTAGGAGTGTCCTGTTGAGTTAAGCTAGCAGGTGTCTCTGTCTACAGCTCTTGGAATGCCAGGCATTTCCTTTGAGTAGTCTGCTCATGGGTGAGGGTCAGACAGTCTTAGCCTGTGGTTCCTCTTGCAGCCAGGCATTGTCTCAGGGTAAACTATTGAGACTCCAGACTCCATTTAAATTCATCGATGGCCAAAGTCCCAAGTGATAATGGTTGAAAGTAAAGAGCTTCCTTTGGGTAAACCTGCCCAGACTTAGCTTATCATGGCTGGCCCCCACATCAGCATCTTCTGAAACATCCTAGGAACCTCATTCTAAGATTTCCATGGATGGTTGTGTGGTGGTTTGAAGAAAATGGCCTCCAAAGGGCATGGCTCTATTAGGAGGTGTGGCTTTCTTGAAGTAGGTATGGCCTTGTAGGAGGAAGTATGTCACAGTGGAGGCAGGCCTTGAGGTCTCATATATGCTCAAGCCATGCACAGTGTTTGAGAACACTTCCTGTTGCCTGCAAGATATAGGACTCTCAGCTCCTTCTTCAGCAGCGTATCTGCCCGCCTGCAGTCACGTCCCACCATAATGGTAATGGACCCACCTCTGAATTATAAGTGAGCCACCTCAATTAAATGTTTTCCTTTCTAAAAGTTGCCATGGTCACAGTGTCTCTTCACAGCAATAGACACCCAAAGACAGCTAGAAATATGACTCAGCAATGAAGAACACCTAGTTCTCTTGTCGAGGACCTGAGTTCCATTTCCAGCATCTACATCAGGTAACTCACAACCTTCTGATCGATGCCCCCTTCTGGCCGTCATTGGCACTTGCAGATATGTGGTACACACATACATACCTGTAAAATAATAAATAAGTCTTTGAAAAGTATTTGCAATACAATAGCTCACTGCTTTGGAGGGAATACATCCTTTGATCTGACCAATACTAACCTACAGATTAATACTGTGGAGGTTCATAAAATCCTTTGTATGTTGGCTCTAGGGAAACTTTTCTAGGCCCTTTTAGAACAGTTCCAGACGGTAGGTGATAGGGAGGTGGTTTCACAACGCTCTTAACCCTAGTCCATCTCTCCAGCCTCTGTCATAACATTTTAAAATATAAGAAAATAAAGTCAGGCCTGGGCTTTCCAGGTGACTGTCGTAGAAGAAGAACAAGAAGAAGAGGAAGAGGAAGATGATGATGATGATTTAACAGCGAAAGAGAAGCACAGAGAATTAGTGGAACAATTCCATGAAGAAGAGCTCTAGGAACCCAGTATAAAATAACTAAGTCATCTAGCATGCAAAATCCAGATCCTAAGTCCATTCCTTTAGCATGGAACTTTTGTGACAGGTTAGAGTTGATTTTCACAAGTAAATTTAAAAAAAAAATAGTGATATACTAAAGCTTACTGTCTCTGTGTTTGAGACAAGGTCTCTGTAGGTAGCCCAGGTTGGACTCCGAGTCTCCCTCTTTCTGCTAGAATTCTACAGTGTGCCACCATGGCTAGCTTAAAGCTTTAAATAAGTCTTCAAGTGCACGGTTTAGTTCTGCTGACTGCACGCACGATGTCCTACAGCAGATACGTACAGCATGTTCAACCTGAGTGGCGGAGGGGCTGTGCCGCTCAGTGGCAGTTGACATGGTCTGCCCCCTTAACCTCAGGCAGACCCCATTTTTGTACTACTCTATGTTTGCCATTGTTAGACGTCTCTGCAAAGTGGAACTATGCCATGACTGTTTCCTTGTGAACGATTAATTTCACCTCCCTGATTTATCCATGTTGCTGTATGTTGCAGAATTTCTTTCTTGGGCTGGAAAAGTGACTCAGTGTTTAAGAACACTGGCTGCTTCCAGAAGACCTGGGTTCAATTCCCAGCACCCACATGGCAGCTCACAACTGTCTGTAATTCCAGTTGCAGAGGATCTGACACTTTCACACCAATACACATAAAATAAAGGTTTTTAAAAATAATTTATTTATTTATTTATTTCCTTCTTTCCTTCTTTCTTTCTTTCTTTCTTTCTTTTTGTTTTTTGAGACAGGTTTTTTCTGTGTAAAGAATTTCTTTGTTAATCCTAAGCAAATATAACACGTTTTCTTTATCCATCAACCCACTGATGAGCACTTGGGTTGTTTTCCATACTTGGGCTGTGGTTAGTTGTGCTGCAATAGACAGAAGAATGGCCATATCCCTGGATGTGGGAGTATTGGGATCATGAGGTAGGGTCTTCTTTTAACTCCCTCCTGACTCTTACACCATTTTCTATCCTGCCAACAGTACACAGGCACTCCAGTCTCTACGCTTGTTTAGTGGGGGTGG